GTGTGTGTGTGTGTGTGTGTGTGAGGATGGCCACAAGTTCACCTGCTATCTTGCACACAGTGCACACACTTACCAATGTGCAACAACACGAACTGGTCAGTTACTGCACGGGGAAGCGAAACAAAGGAACAGAAAAGGGGCCTATATTCAGAAATAGGGAAAAAACAAGGGCGCTGTCACGGTTTCAGTTTGAAAATGCGTTTGAGTCACGATTTTGTGAATGTTGTGTCAAACCGAGGAGAACCATGAATTTATACAACCCAGCTTTAAGGTCGGGTGGGGATGTGTTTTATTCGAGGAATGCCTGAACTGGATTTTAAAACTGAAATCGTGACTGCGCCCTCGTTACCCCTCAGAAACATCTCTCTGTCCTAATTTGAAGTCAGATGGGTTGGAGAGCCATATGATAGGGGACTACATCGTTCAGTTCGGAGCGGACTCGGGGAATCACCTGGTGGACGCGAAAGTTTCACTCTATTCTTTACTGTGGGGGGAGAGATGGAAGCAGAGAGACACGCACCTTTGCGACCCCTTCCTCACCCCCTAGTGTCTTCAACACTTTGTCGAGATTCACCACGTATCCTGGGTACTCAACGGCAATCAAATTTTGCGCGGGAATCGCTGCAGATATGTCTGGCAGATCTGGCCCGTCGGCCTGATGGTGCCGATCCCGCAGATATAGCTGATGTGGTGGGGGAGTTGGCTGAGTTGGCTGACCTGGCTGAACCTCCATCATCGCGTTGGTGCTGTTGGGATATGGTTGATGGCGTCCTGTCGGGATCCCTTCTTCATGTGGTGGCTCTGCCATCCACGCAATCGCTGCCCCTCCCTGCATGGTTCTGGTTAACTACGTGTATATTTCTGTCATCCTGCCGCCACGTGCCCGCACGTCAGCACTTGCAGTTAACGAATGTGAATGGCCACCTGCACCCATCATCCACATCCAGAGAATTGTGAACTCAGAAATAGGACTTTTGAGAAAGTACGAACTTGGGAAATTCGGAATTTCGTTTTTTAAAGGTAATCTATTTCCTCTCTCTCTCTCTCTCTCTCTCTCTCTCTCTCTCTCTCTCTCTCTCTCTCTCTCTCTCACTCACTCACTCTAGTCAGTGAAACTCCGACGGAACAGTTTGTCACAGCCCCTCGTTTGTTGTACTCTTCTCCCTCTCTGGCTACGGTTTACCGGGCAGGCAGCTGCCCAGTAAACCGTAGGCAGAGAGGGAGAGGAGAACAACAAACGAGGGGCTGTGACAAACTGTTTCGTCGGAGTTTCACCGGCTCATCAGGAGGCTGAACCCTCAACAGTCTGCAGAATTATAAGCAGGATACAGCGGGTCATAAAGATTTGTCACATGGCGTATCAGAAATTGATACAACATATCAAGGAGGCGGTCGAACATCCGATGATGCATGTGTGACAGTCAATGCTAGTAATATTTTTTTGCATCATCTCAGATCTTCAGATTCCTCTACAGACCAGACGTATGGGGCATCACAAGGCGGTTACTGCTGTTGTATAACATCCATTGCATCCAACAAGAAAATCTATGAGGACAGTAGTGATTGGCATGCAAAATTTGTATTCATTAACTTTAGTATCTCCAGTCGTTTTCTAAGCCTTATCATTCGCGACATTGATGATCTTCTGCAACGCCGCTCCACAAACTACCGTCTTCATCCGAATAGAACGCCCGGTAATTATCGCCGTATCTGGGCTGAAAGTTGTGCCAAATACGGCTATAATGACCGGGCGTTCTATTCGGGTGAAGACGGTAGCCCCCACGGTGTATCATTCCATCCAATATGCCTGGGTAGTGCTGGCAGTTTGTGCGTCGGCTCTGTGCCGACTGGGCACTCATAGGCAATGTTGTCCTTGTCTGTTCTTTTTGTTCTCACTACAATTGACATTGCCTGAGGGGTGAGGTGGGCCACTTGCTCTTCGGAGTGAATAACCCACGTCCTAGAGCCTCCCTTTCCCATCTCAAGAGAGCCTGGTCTGATGACATCGTCTTGTTCATTCAGGACTACCTCAACTTTGGAGACCTGCACTTCCCCGTGGTCGTCTTTGTGCCTGATCCAATGTCCATCATAGGCTTGAAGGGGGAACTCCAAGATATGTTTCCATTGTTCTGGGATGCTGTCAATCACCATATGCACTCGTTCCGGAACTTCCCTTCGGTGATGCAACCTCATTCGTAATTCCTGCGTTGATCTCCATTGTTCAAGTTTCGTGTCCCACAGGTCAGCTATTCTGGATACTCCCCGCTGTATCTAGGATCGACCAAAATGTCCAGGCGAACTTGAAGCCGACCATGGGAAGCCAAAATGGTCCACTAGACTTGAATTTTCAAAAATACGTTGGGCAAGTACCTCCTCCTTAGAACTCCGGGGTTCCAAAGAGGAGGGCATGACCTTCTCCCACACCGCAAGAATACTAGGCTTTCCAAATGGGTGAATTAATGTGTGAGCAAACATCACTCCTACGGAGAAGTTGCCACTCTTTTGATCAAATATTTACGGCCAATTCTATCCATGGGTGATTGCTTTTTTCCACAAGTAACTTGATAACCCATCTCGCCAAGAGGGCATTTATTTGGGATTCTGGGTCTAACACCCCAAAACCACCACCATGCAACTTTGGCTAAATATCCATTTTCATCATCACTAGTGCCCTTCCAAAGATACTTGATGGAAAGAGACCTGATGATTTTGTTTGCCTGCTTCTCGAGCCCCCTAAGGGAGCCCGAGTACCATGCAATCGAATACACCAAAGTATTTAAAAAGAGGGCCCTTCCTATAATGGAAATGCCCTTGACGGAGGAAATCTGATTCAGTTTGGAGACCATCATGCTCTTTTCAACCAAGCAACTTGCATGCTTTTTTGCATCTAGAAGACCCACCTGCACACCCAAAAAACGCTCACAGTCTTCTGAAGGTAAACATCTATGTCCCCAGTCCACAGCCAAATTAGTATCTTGTCTCACAATAGCCACTGATTTAGACCAGTTCACAAGAGCTTCAGAGAATTTAAAATAGTTGTCGAGACAGATCTTGACGGCCGCTAATGATGATTGAGTGTTAATTGAGAGGGCAAATAAGTCATCTGTCATGGCTGAGGCTTTACATTGCCCACTCTCTCCAACTTGGGAGGCCTTGAATGTCTGGGTTTCTTTTGATCATATGTAATAGCACCTCCATCTGCAACACGAAGAGCATGGGGGCTCAGGGACATCCTTGTCTAAGGGACCTAGAGAGAGGGAAAGTTTTTGAAATCGCCCCGTTGACCATCACCCTCCCAAGGCTTTTGGTTTATAGTAGTGCCTGTACCCATCTACAAAAGACATCCCCCAAAACCGCTTTCTTCAGTGTCTCAAGGACAAAATCCCAGTTCACCCGGTCATATGCCTTTTCCAAATCTAGGAGTAGCGCCACTACTTATTATGTCTGGTCATCCTTCATAATTTCCAAGGCCTCTATTTTTAGCATAACATTATTAAGGATGTTCCTCCCTTGAACAAAACCTGCTTGTTCTTCTCCCACTAAGGAGAGCAGGTACCTTTTTAATCTATTAGCTAAAGTTTTGGCCAACAGTTTGTATGATTTGTTTAGGAGGGAGATAGGCCTCCAATTTCTGATGTTCCTTTTATCTCCTTTCTTGAAGAGAAGGGAGATGGTACCCAGTCTCATCTCTTCTCCCAAATCTTGTCCTTCCAGGATTTTGCCAAATATGTCAATCAACGAGGGTCCTAGAATAGTCCAGAAGGAGACGTAATGCTCCATTGGCAATCCATCACTACGGTAACCTGGACATTTACCTTTCTTCATGTCATGAAGGGTGTGGGTAAGCTCATCTAGGGAGATGGGAGGGTCCAAGTCTAGCCTCCCGTGTACCGCGAGTTTAGCGTCGAAGGTGTCCCACATCTGCCTCTGCAGGAGGTCATCCCCAGGGTCTGGGAAACTCTGTCTGGATGATGTAAGGATGGATATTCATGAAATACAATCTTGCATACTCAAGGATCTTGCCTGTATCTCTTGCCCTAGACTCAAAAGAGTCAAAGGGGTGGTCCAATTCAATAATCAGGGAAGAGCCTTTTTTGAAAGAAAGTCTTCTAAAATTTTCCTTTGTCATTTTGTCCCCCACATCTATCCATTTGATTCTAGCCTTTTCCGCCCATACCCGCTTTTTCTCTTATTGTATATTGTCCATTTTGTCAATCCAAAAATTCCTTTGAGACATCCAATAGGCCGAGAAGAATGAATCTCCTTCCAGGTTCTGTCTCTTATACACATCTAGATGTGTATAGGAGGCATCTCCTTCCAGGTTGGCCTCGGCCCACTCGATTTGCTCAATACATGCTTCCTCAGCTTTACTTGAAAGGTATGCCTTTGCTCTTGACGCAAAGTTGAAATCTGCGGCCGCCGTCCTGCAGGCTGCCTCTAACCAGTCTAATTCAGACTCATAGAAGTGCCTCATGCTTTTCAGTTTAGACTCTTCAGAGAGTGATTTACCAATGGAAGCCACCAGATTTTTATCTCTCAGCATTTCAATGTTTAGTCTGTAAAAGCCCCTACCCGTGACTATTCGCTTGTCCAGTACAAAAGTAACCAGGACTGGCCGGTGGTCAGACAAGGGGTTAAATGGCATATTCACCTCCATGGCCCATTCGGCCGGCTTATTCCTTAGTAGGAAAAAGTCTAGCCGCAGTCTAGTGTATGATCCGTTCTGCCTTGGGTTGTGTGATACCCAAGTGTATCTTTTGGATGTGGGATGAATCTGTCTGAAGGGGTCTACTAAATCCATGGATTCCACTACCTCACCCAAAGCCAGTGAATCCATGCGGAAACCATCTGCCGATGAGGAGTCAAGCACCGGGTCAAAGGACTGCATTCCAATCTCCTCCCAGCACTAGGTTGGGAGAAGAGGGTAGTACATTAGGTAAGAGTCCGTAAGACCTCAAAAAACTGTACCTTTTCCCTTTTGTCTACTGGGGCATAAATGGGCCCAAAAGTCCATGTTGTGCCCTCAATGTCCACAAACACCCAGACCCACCTTCCCAACGAATCTGCAAAGTCATCCACTATTGAGATTTGGAGGTCTTTATGGAACAGAATGGCTGTACCCCCCTTAGTGCCGTCAGCAGGGGCCCAAAACTGCGCCCCCTGCCATCTCCATAAATAGTCTGCAATTTTTCCCTTACTTAGTTTGGTCTCTTGGAGAGGTACAACCTGGGCTCTATTTTGGTGGATCCATGACTTCAGTTTGGACCACTTTTGTCTGTCATTAGTGTCGCCTAGGCCCATTACCTTCCACGAGACCGCTCTAAGCTTGTCGTTAGTGTCGCCTAGGCCCCTTACATTCCACGAGACCAGTCTAAGCTTGTTCATTCACAGAATTTGCCCCCAACGTTTGGATCAGGGAGAAGTAGGGTGGGGGGCGGGGGGGGGGGGAGAGCATTGAAATAGTCTCTCCCCCCGATGTGGTGAAAGAGGTGGCTGCAGGAGCCTTCAAAAGGGAGGAGGTGAGGCTTGACTTCCTTTTCCTGTCCTCCCCCATTTCTGATGCAGCCCCCTGCCATGGTGCAGAGAGCATTCTGTCAAAAAACTCTTGAGAATAAATTATGATCTGTGGTTACCTATGTGTTGAATTCAATTAGCACGTCCCCCGAAACAGCCTCAGCCGTGTATACCATCTTGGCATGCGATGTGTTTTCATCTTTAATCCACTCCAGCGGACACCAGATCCCCTTGGATCTTTCTACCTGCTCCATGTCATTCTCTCTGGGTATAACATCAAATGCCTCGATGATTAGTTGGACCTTGTTGCCAGTTTTACCCTCGTGACTTTCCGTTGAGTTAGCTGTCTCCTTTTCTCGAGACAGCCAGCTCAACGACCCTCTTATTCCCCCAAAAGGCGTTTTTTTATGGAGAAACTGTAGGAGCCTCCTTCCGTTTGCCATCTTCATATGGGATTCTGGCAACTCGTAATTTTCTGCTGTAGAAAGTGCCCGTATGCCACTCCAATTGTGAAAAAAACTAGGCTACAAGAGTGGCCCGGGGTCATTTGCCTGGCCGGGCCAAAAACAATTAAAAAATAAAAATATTTTTTTGGTTTATTTTTTATTTTAAATTTGGTAACGAATTGCGATGTGACCCTGAGGCAAAAGTTGTTCAGTTTATTTTCTGCATAACATAGTTTTTTTTCGGATTTTCTTGAGTGTTTTTTTTTTTTTTTTTTGACTGGGACCTTCTCTGGTCCTTGCACGGGCTGGCCACCCGGGACCCGGGCGGCCCGGCTGGTAGCCTAGGAAAAAGCTTCAGAAAAGAAAAAAAAGAACAATTGTATCCGCACCATTTATAAATGCATTTCTCATTTTCAATCGAATTAAAATGAACATTTTCAGCTGTCGCACCGTTGAGTTGCCTCTCAACTAAACGGTGCAAGTGGGACATGGCCCCCGCAAGGCAAACGCCAAGGAAGGTCCCAGTAAAAATAATTTTTAAAAATTAAAAAAAAAACTATGTTCTGCGGAAAAATGAACTAGACAACTTCCGCGTTAAGGTCTCATTTTTGGCCTGGCCGGCCAGTGGTCCCGGGCCACACTGGTAACTTAGTCAAATGTAAAATAAACAGAATTGCATACATCATCATTCCTGTCCGTTCAATCTGTCAATCCAATCCATCCATCCACTCGTCGATTCATCAAATCAAAATTGCTAGGACCAATCAATCAATTTCACCATCGAATTCATTACATCGGTCCACCAACAGTCCAACCAATCAATCCATCAATTCTTTAGGTCCTAATCTAGATTCAGGCCATACAAAAGTCGGCACCACTTTAGGTCCATAGGTCCGTACACTCGGTGGGCCTGAGCAGTCCCTGATCGGTTGTGTCAGTCACAGCTGAATTGGGAGAGAGTGAGCATTTCGCGACGTTGGAGACTGACCACAGCCACAAGCAATTCGGGTCTAACACCGGAAGTTGGCCAAACAGCAGTGGCAGCGACCAACACCTCAGTCAGCCAGGAAAAGGCACTGTCAGCCCTAAGTGAAGGCGGGCCGGCTAAATTCGGCCTGACCTGAGTTCAGCAATGTGAGCAGACTTGGGGCCCCTGGGAGTGCCTGCACATGTGCAGCATCTTCAACTAACAGGTAGGCTCAGCCCACAAGTTAATTGACGATGCTGGGCCTCGTGCAGATCCTGGAAGGGCCCAGGGCAATGGAAACAGGGACAGGGCACAGCCTCCTCGGCCACTCCATCCAGCACAAAAGACTGTAGGGCTGTAGGGCGCCTGGCATCGCACGTTCGCGCAGTCAGGCAATGCAGCAGCGCAGCACGAGAGGCAGTCAGCGCGTAAGCCCGAGGAGGAAGCTGCGCGGTGGCAGCGAGGTGAGAGAGGGGAGGGCGGCAACCATGGCCTGGCTGCTCACTCCATAGCCGCATGGTGGAGAAGTGGTGGTCCTTGGTGGAACAAGGAGTGGGGAAAAGGGAGAGAGGCAGTGCGAACGAGGCACGTAAGTGGTGTTGACAATCGCAGGCTGTTCAATCAGAGTCTTCGAGCGGCGTCGGGCTGACGACACGTGGACGTCTTGCTGACATAAGTTGGTTAGATAGACAGGAGCATAGGGAAGTAGTATCGGCACTCAGGACGCCTTAGGGAAGGAGGGCTACATTGTTGTTGCAATGGTGATTGGAGAAGTTGGAAGGGCTTTCATCATCAAGAGACTTCGGTCCTTTGCTTGTGTTCCTATTTGGTGTGCATATCGCTTTGATTTCTGCTCTCACTTTCCCCTCTATGATATCTAGTTTTGTGCTCACATAACCCACTGCTTCGCAACTTAGTTTATTGCTGTTCACATTGATTGCTTATTTCCTCGCATTGCCTATTATCTATTCAAATTACAGAGTAAATTCCCTGTTTTGCCACTTCGCTTGCGAGAAAACCAGAGCTAATACCACCAAACCTTTTTTCTT